AAAAATCTAATTATTTTGAAAGCAAAATCTAAATTTTTAAATTTTTTTTCTGAACTTTTAACATTTTTTAGATTTTTTATATTTATTTAAGAATTTTTTTTAGAATTAAACAATTTTTTTTTAAATATTTTAACTGCCAAATTTGAATTTAACTGCCAAATTTGAATTTGAATTTAACGACGATCAGTTTCAGTGTGCCCAGGTGCAGTTTTAAAATAACACCTAAATTTGGATTCAAAAGGTTTGAGTCTCTGCTAACTTGCGCCGGCTCCTAAATGGTTTGGAACTTGGACATTTTATAACAGTTTATACCAGTTTTCAGTCGCTTGCTGCTGGTTTCTGTTCGCCTGTTACCCCAGTTTGGAAAGCGGCCAATTTGAATGAAAAGTTTTGCTCACTGGCATCAGTGATGCTCACTTCCATCAGTGATGCTCACTTCCATCAGTGATGCTCACTTCCATCAGTGATGCTCACTTCCATCAGTGATGCTCACTTCTATCAGTGATGCTCACTTTCATCAGTGATGCTCACTTCCATCAGTGATGCTCACTTCCATCAGTGATGCTCACTTCCATCAGTGATGCTCACTTCCATCAGTGATGCTCACATCCATCAGTGATGCTCACTTCCATCAGTGATGCTCATCATTGGTAGTTAGTGAGATGCCATTTTGTCCCAATAATGCAAAATAGCTATATGAGCATCACTGACAGTTAGTGGGATGCAATTTTCTACCAATAATGCAAAAAAATAGCTAGATGAGCATCACTGATCCACATGCGCACCACTGCCATTAAGCCCAACTTTATTGCCCTCCAATATTGAAACATAGCCAGATGAGCATCACTGATGCAGGTGAGCATCACTGATGCAAGTGAGCAAAACTTTTCATTCAAATTGGCCGCTTTCCAAACTGGGGTAACAGGCGTACAGAAACCAGCAGCAAGCGACTGAAAACTGGTATAAACTGTTATAAAAACATTTGGGCAATAATAATAATTGGTATAAACTGTTATATTTCATTTTATGCATTTATACCTATTTGTTGCCGACAACAACAGCTTATGGCAACAACAACCTTTTTACAACAACATCCCTACAGCAGCCCATCCAAATTTCCGAACATTTCCAAGCAAATTGCCAGTTTTCCAAATTGGGGTAACAGGCGAACAGAAATCAGCAGAAAGCTCCTGAAAACTGGTATAAACTGTTATAAAATGTCCAAGTTCCAAACCATTTAGGAGCCGGCGCAAGTTAGCAGAGACTCAAACCTTTTGAATCCAAATTTAGGTGTTATTTTACAACTGCACCTGGGCACACTGAAACTGATCGTCGTTAAATTCAAATTCAAATTTGGCAGTTAAATTCAAATTTGGCAGTTAAAATATTTAAAAAAATTTGTTTAATTCTAAAAAAAATTCTTAAATAAATATAAAAGATCTAAAAAATGTTAAAAGTTCAGAAAAAAAATTTAAAAATTTAGATTTTGCTTTCAAAATAATTAGATTTTTCCCCAAACGATCCCAAATAAATGCCGCCTTCACAAAAAAATTGCACATTGATTTCACCAAACAGCCAAGTAATAATTTTTGTTCTCAAAATTTATCGAACAATTGTATGGCAGTTATATGATATAGTCGTCCGATCCGCCCCGTCCAGATATATATAGCAGTGAGAGTATATAGAAGACTATATGCCAAGTTTCATATACATATGTAGATAGCTTTAAAACTGAGGGACTAGCTTGCGTAGAAACGGACAGGCGGACGGACGGACATGACTAGATCGACTCAGCTGTTGATGCTGATCAAGAATATATATACTTTATAGGGTGGGAAAGGTCTCCTTCACTGCGTTGCAAACTTCTGACTGAAATTATAATACCCTGCAAGGGTATAAAAATCCGATTTTATAATACAAAATAATATTTTTCTAAGTCAAGGAATCATTTCCGACCCCATAAACCATATATATTCTTGATCAGCATTAACATGCGAATCTTTCTAGACATGTCCGGAAGAAATCGAGTTTTTGGCCATTTTTGCGAAATTCGATAAGGGGTTACATCATTAAAATTAGCAAAAATTGCCAAAAATTTGGATTTCTTAAAATTTTAAATTTGGTATGCAGTTTTTTTAAATTAATAGAAACTAACACAAAACTGCTTTCCGAATCGAAATTAAAGCATTTTTGGCTTAGTTATGATATATTTTAATTGTTACCTGCAAGGGTATACAAACTTTGGCTGGCCAAAGTTAGCTTTCTTTCTTGTTAATTAATAAAACAAGATTGACCACGTTAAAACAAGTCAAAATATAAATATAAATATTTCACCAGCGTTGGTTTATAATTCTAAGCTTATAACATTTATTTTTTGAGGTATTTTACTTGTATTTTCAAAGAATTCAAATTAATTAAAAATATTTAAAGCTGAAAATAAATTAAAATATTTTTCTCTCTACTAGTAAAACACCTTAATTTGTGTTCAGTAAATTCACAGTTGCAATTGATGAAGTACTACTGCTGTTTCTGTTTCAGCTTTTGCTATTCCGAACCATTTGCAATTTGCTAGTGAACACTTTGTGCCGGTTTACTTCAGATTTATGTGGCATCGAGTTGATTAGATTAAAGGTGTGGTTCGTTCTCATTCCAAAACTGATTAAGTGCCATGCCTAGGGGGCCATCGAAATTCTTTCTCTCTCTTACCCCCTCTCCCTGGTGGCAAATAAAACCTGAGCCAGGTTATTAAGTAAATGTGGCACTGGCACAACTTCGACTTGGCATAAATTCAGTTGTTATAGTTCAGTAAACCGGCACACACACACACAGCCACAGACATGGGAATAAACAATACTTTATTTACAATGTAATGGCATATAAAATGGCTGGCGTTGCCATTTTCTTGGGTTCCTCCTTTTGTTGTATGTTGTGTGTCCGCTTTTTCGGTTTATTTGCCAGCGGTCAGTTGCTTAATTTCTACGCTTTTATTTGCCACAATTTCAGTTGCTGCAGTGCTGAATGTACATATGTATGTGTGTTTGTGTGTGTGGTGGGCGTGGCTCTCCTGCCCCTCGATTCATTTCTCTCTCTTTGCTGTGTGTCTTGCCCTTCTTATTTATTTTCGTAATAACAATAAATTACATTTTTCTTCGGTTTTCCTTGTGGCCCCCTCGGTGTGCGTGTGTGTGTTGTGTGTGTGTGTGTGTACTCATTTGCTAAGTTGTTTTATGTGGCTGTCGCTTGTTTGTGGCTTTTTGACATTTGGATTAAGAAAATAAATCCTGGCCCTGGCTGGACAGCAATTTTAATATTTTTACTCGCCATAGCACCAGTAAACTTTGATTTTCCTTTTATTTTGTATTTTTATTTTATTTTTTCCTGTGCTTTGGGGCCAAAGTAAAGTTTTAATCTATGGAATGGCTTAAATCAAATTTTGGCTTACTGAGGTAGCAACTTTACGGCAGCCTGAGCTTGTCATTTCAGCAGTAATACAATTAAACTAGGTACAAATGAAAATCCCCCCCAAGGTTGGGTAGAATTATAAATATTCAAGTGAAAATAAAACCGAAATAACTTTTTGGGTAAATAACAGACGGTTTTTTTATATTTTAGACACAATATAAATATCTAAATGTAGTAAATACAATGGCAATAAATAAATAAATTCAGGGAAAGCCAAAAAAGAAGCATGTGGAAAGCCTTTTAAAGGCATTTTTTTTTGTTTAGAAACCTTAAATAAATAGTGAACTGTACTCTTAACAATATTTTTAGTTATATTTCCTTTCAATATTTAAATGCATAATATTATTTATTTATTTATAATTATATACAAATTTTATTTATAATTGAAAACCCTCAAAATATGTTCAGATTGCATTTTTTCCCAAACTTTATAAAATGTACTTTTTAGCGAATGGTTTTTAATCAACAAATCACCTTAAATCTAAAAATATTCGACATGCTTGGCTGTTGCCAGAAAGGCACATAAACCAGGAGGAGAACCCAGAAATAGAGGGAAAAGAGAACAACAATAAAGCAAGCTGGCAACGGAAATAAAACTGTGGCCTGATCCGACTTTTTGCGCGCAACATTTCTCTCTGTATTGAGGACTTGGCCGAGTGAGATGGCTAACACATAAACAAGCAGGTACACAAGCACACAGAGAGAGATGTGCTACCAAAGACACATAAAAAAGACACCATCACTCAGACAATCGTTAAATGGCAGGCATTAGGCTTAGTTGGAATTTTCGAAACGTTATGGGGGCGAATCCGACTTATTTTCTTGAGTCCTTTTCTTTTATATGTCTGGAACCGGGGAACTTCTAAGCTAAGATCCAGCTAAAAGGTTTTTTTTTCTTACTTACAGGTTACGTTACTTTTATTTATAATTTATATACATTTTAGAAAAAATCCTCTCATTCATTAATGTATTTGTAAGCTTGTTTTTCCAGATTTGACTTTGTTCCTCCGCCTGTCCTTAGCCTCATAAACTGTTGCCTAGTTTCAGGCACTCGCTAAATGGCAAAGCTTAGGCTAATTACACTCGCCAGAAAATGCAGTTGTGAATGCCGCTGCTGCTGCTGCTGCTGCTGCTGCACTGCCAGCGGCAGACACGTTATAATTTCGTTAATTTTCCAACAGCTTGGCTGGCATTTCGCACTAAAGTTTTAATTAAGAGCCGCGGCCAGAAGCACGTGCAGGATTCCCCATTTTCCTCAACATCTACATTCACATTCACACTCACATTCACATCAACATTTTCATTTCCATTTCTTTTCATTTCTTTCCATTTTCTGTGGCAGACACGCACTCACAGCTGCTCGGCATGGCGTCCATTCATTCACTCATTCAAAAATGCTAAACAATTCAAAAAATGTGTGTTACTATTCCCGCTTTAGGTGGCTTCCATCCATTTTGCAGCTAAATGTGTTGCGCTTTTGTTTGTTTTTGGTTGTTTTTTTCTCCTTTTTTGTTCCATAATTCAAAAAGCCGCTGATGTCTGACTTTAAAATGGTTGGGGCTGCCATGTTTTATGTTTATTAGCCTGTCTAATTGAATGGTCTAATGCGGGGAGTTTATGAAAAAGCATCAAATACGAAGCCTTCGTATTGCCGCGGATCCAAGAGTCCCTCGAGCTCGAATTCCCCCACCAGCTGCCTGATGGAGTCCTGTATGTCGGGGTTCAGATACAGCCGCCTCTTCATATCCATTCCCCGAGGCTGATCCGAGAGTAGGGCCCCAAAATCCGCATCTGTTTCATCGGTATTCAGGAGCACTGGTTGCAGGAGCAGACCACAGTGAACAGCTAGTAAAAAAATATATAAATTAGCTTTTTTTTCTCCTCAGAAATTATAAGCTTTCTAATGTCTAAGGGATTTTCCTTCACCCACCATAGAAACGCTTCTGCTCCGACTCCAGGTGAAACTGCTTGCGGCTGGGCAACCTTTGACCCTTGAAGCCCAGCCTCCCCAGCTCCCGGACAAACACTTCATGGTAGATACACCGCATCTCAATTTGAAGACCAGTACGGACCAGCTCCACGGCGGATGTGTTGAGCAGATGATGGATGTCTAGCGTGGGCGAGCCCCAGAAGGCATACTGGAAGTCAATCAGTAGGACATCGCATGGCACGCCCGCCTCGTACTTGAACATCATGTTGTTTGTCCACAAATCACCGTGGGTCAAGACATTAATGTGACCCACCTCGGGCTGAAAGCAGCGCAGTCCTAGGCCCATATAGTGAGGTGCCAGCTCCTCAAGTCGTTGGGCGTGGCCCTGATGACCAGGCTGAGTTTTTAGATAATTTGCACAGCTCTTCAAGCATCCCAGGAAATAGGCGCTATAGCTCTCCGTGTAGCGATTGAAGAAACCCCGGTCGTATTTTGTTAGAGATTGGGAAGTTCCCCATAAACTCTCATTGAGAACGACAGAAGCAGCCTGCAATTTAGCCAGTTTTCTGAGCACCAGCACCACATGCTGCTCATCTAGTCTCTGGAGGCGAGGAGCCATCACATATCCTCTGTGACTTAAGTCCTCCATCAGGAGAGCTCCTCGCTTTCGATCGATATGCAGGACTCTAGGACAGAGCGGTTCGCCTGCTATGTTTTGTAGTTGAGGTAACACCTGCTCGTATAGCTCCAACTCCCGATTGTAGGTGTCGTAGGGGGCCTTCTTCTCCCGGGTCTCTACATCTTCATCCTCCAGCTGGGTCTTGGCTATTAGGTTCTCCACTTTTATGTCCTGATCAATGGTGTACTTGACACATATACGCGTTAGTATGGCACCATAATTTTCACCCTTGCCCAAGGCATTCTTTAGCTCAATAGATTCTAGTTTAAGGTGGGATTTTTGATAATGCTGACGCAGAGCAGCCTCTAGATACTCCGAGGTTAGCCATTCAGGTGCTGCGGCTGCCATTTCAGAACTGAACTAAAATTTTATATTTGAGCTGAGGCTGCTAATGATAAGGTTAGAGGAATCATTTTACAACTTGTAGTGCAACTATAATTATAATTTGTTATCACCTCAGCGCCATCTGGTTTAAGTTCAGTGTTTGTTTTTAAAGCGATAAGAAAAGTTATTGTATATATATAAAGAAAAACTTTTGTTTGCTACAACTTGAACTGGAAAAGTAAATAATTGGACTGATTGTTTATGGAGCATAACAAAGCTCCCCTTTCATTAATAGGTAGTACAGATTTTCTAAAAGCTGCTGTAATTTTATTTAAAATAATGAATACTCTTAGGCGTTAACAGAAATCTATTAAAGTGAGACTAAAAGTTTGCGGGTTTTGAATAAAAATAGTTAGTTAGTTAGTTTAAAGTTTTAAACGAGTAAAATCAAATTGGTTTTTTGGGTTACAACCTCACTCGGTACAAACATGAGTGGCTTGTTTAATCCCATCCTAATACTCTCCCCATCTCAGCTTGACCGCTTCCATTTCACTGGTTGTCAGTGTCACAGCCTGGCGCTTAGGCACCTCCGGCTTGGGCAGCTCGTGCTGCTTCATCCCCTGCCTGCATTCCCATTCCGGATATGATGATTCCGGCTTCGATTCCGGCCTCGGCTTAGGGGGCTGGTTGCTGCAAGTGCTTGCCTTGTTGGCCGGCCTGCTGGCGGCGCACTGATAGACGTCATTGGCGAGGGTCGCCGCAGGGAGGGCAGGAGCCGCCAGAGCTCCCTTTTTGATAGCAGCAGTTGCTGTTTTTGGTGCTGCCCCTGCTGTTGCACTTAAAGTTGCAACGGAGTGCAGTAATGACGGTGCGTTGCAGCTCGTTATGCCGTCGGCGGGGGGCTTCTTCTGCCACCACATGTTGCCAGAGCTTGGCAGACAGCGGGCCTCGATCACTGCAACTGCTGAGCATTAGATTCGGGTTAAGAGTTGGTGGTTTTAGTCCGCACTCACCACAAAATAGGCCAAGCAGGCAGGAAATAATAAATATGTAGTTCATATTTGCAGTTATTAATTGTTCGTTAAAAATATGAAAGATATAAATAAATATTTATTTATATTTTAAATTGTTGTTCGTAAGGTTTCGTAGTTCGAAGTCAAGATTATACCACACCACTCAATAAGTTCCCGGCCTGACATATACGGGGCAGTAGTAACCAAACATCGATATTTTTTATTGATAGTGTCTTTTATCATAAGCTTTGTGTACAAATTTTACAACTCTGCGACCACGTGTTTTCAAGTTATAAATTTTAAAGTGAAACAACCTTTGAGTTTTTCTACAATATGGAAAAAAAAAGAATTTCGTGTCCTCATTAAACACTGTTTTTTGATTGGAAAAAATACGGTAGAAGCCAAAATTTGGCTTGATAAGCATTACCCGGAATCTTCTCCAGGAAAATCAACCATCAAGGACTGGTACAATGAATTTAAACGTTGTCGTGTGGACACCGAAGACGCTGACCCTAGCGGTCGCCCAAAAACAGCAGTTACGCCAGAAAATATCGCCAAAATCCAAAAAATTGTATTGGCCGAACGCAAATTTAAATTAAAAGAGATAGCTAATGCATCAAAGATATCAGAAGGCAGTGTGTTCGCGATATTCCATGAATATTTGGATATGAGAAAGCTCTGCTCAAAGTGGGTGCCGCGATTGCTAACACCGGACCAAAAGCAACAACGCATTGATGATTCCGAGACGTTTTTAAGCATGTTGAAGCGCAATGGGACCGATTTTTTTCGCCGTTACTTAACAATGGACGAAACATGGATACACTACTACACTACAGAATCCAGTCAACAGTCTTCTGAGTGGGTGGTATTTGGTGAAAGCCGTCCGAAGCGTCCCAAAACACAAATATCGGCGGGTAAGGTTATGGCGTCCGTATTTTGGGATGCATATGAGATTTTGTTTATAGACTACCTGGAGAAAGGTAAAACAATCAACAGCGAATATTATATAAAGCTGCTGGATCGACTGGACCAAGCTATCAAGAAAAAAAACGTCCACATATAGCAAAGAAGAAACCGCTGTTTCACTGGATAATGCACCGTGCCACAAGTCTGTGGCAACAATGATGAAATTGAGCGAATTGAGATTCGAACTACTGCCGACCGCACCCTATTCTCCAGATTTGGCCCCCAGCGACTACTGGCTTTTTTCAGATCTCAAAAAGCACCTCCAAGGCAAGAGATATCGAAAAAATGAGGAGGCGATTGCCGATACTGAGGCCTATTTTAAGGGCAAAAGTTCAGCCTTCTCCAAAAATGGCATCGAAAGGTTGGAGAAGCGCTGGACTGAGTGTGTAGCCGTAGATGAAAACTAAATTGATGAATAAAACTAAATTTTCAGAAAAAAATGTGTTTTTCCTTCTTAGGCCGGGAACTTATTGAGCGGTGTGGTATAGTCAGAGACTACTCCGATGCGATATAAAAAATTCCCTTTAGCTGTTTGATATATTTCAATAATTAAAATACATTTCCATAATTTAAACTCAAATCAAAATCCTTATAAACTGTTTATAGTTTTTTTCAAGCTTATTATTATTTTAGATACAATTTTCAATGAATTTTCAAGAACTACTAGCCAATTCTTACTTAGTCAATCATTCTTAAACATTTTTTACTTTTATTATTGCATTGTTTTTAAAAAGTTTGTTAGCCAAACTTTCGACACTTGTTCTTGTTGATGTTTTTATCTGCTGAAGCCGCATCTTCTGCAGCAACCGAAATCCATTCAAATTGACGCATTGACAATTGTTTTACCAATTTCATCTCGCTTGTTGTTCGACAGTTGGGCAAAAAGTTTTCGCTCCTCTCCCCATCGTTTTGACAACTGCCAAAGCTGCTGTTGGTTGCCAGTGTTGTTGCTGCATTTATTGCAGCTTAAAGTTGCCGGGGTTTCTTTCTTCTGTTTGTATTCCCCCTCCATCTTTGCATAGCCAGAGCGCTAGTTTATCAAAACATTTTCAACTCGGAGTGCGGCTGCAAAAACAAAGGCACCCAAGACATCATCGATTTTCTCGAGTGGAATGCTCCTCGCAGGACGCGCAACGGCGGGCTGTGGCAACAAGGAAAACAACTCAATCTCAATGCATGGCACTTAAGCAGCTGAAGGAGAAGCCGGAGCAACAGTGGCTGCCACTTGGTTGCAAGGTGCGGAAACTTCTACGACAGCAGAATGCAATTTCTGCAGGGCGGATGCTGGATGCTAGAAGGAAGGGCGCCATCAGCATAGAAATGGGGTACACCCAAAGAAATGGAGGGAATTTATCTAAATATTATGGTACTGGGAAAGGGAGGAGGGAATTTTCCAGCAACGATTGAGTTTTCTTGGAAAATCAATCTCAAGATAGTATTTTATTTTTATTTGTTATTTAAATCATTATAATTCTCTTATTTTCTATATATAAACTTTTTGTTTTGGTGTACCTCTTGTTTTTTAAAAGTGTTGCCAGTATATGTGCAATCATCCAGAGTTAGTTCAACTGCAATCCATTTACGTATCCATAACCCATTTTGAGAGCCCACTCGCAAATCGCAGCGCTGTGTTAATTCATTGAAAAAGAATCTCATGCCAGAAACTTTGCTCATTATAATTACGAAGAGGCACTGCAACCGGCAGCTGACTTAATGCCAAAGATAGGTGCATATATAACAGGAAGGTATAGGATTCGAGGGGTGTTTGAAAATAATTGAGTTTAAAATTAGAAGACTCATAAATAAGCAATAATTATTACAATTTAAAATAAATTTAATTTTAAGTACCTTGGCTTTAACTTAAAATTGATTTATTAAATAACTAAAATAATGATTTTATAAAGTATTTAACAGAATTTTCATTAAAAGAGAACCCAGACCAACCGCCCCTCCTGAATCTAAAAAACTTCTAAAGCAACCCTCTTGCGCCACCTCGCCCTAAAGCTATGGCACCTCGCAAATGAAAGAGGTGGAGGAATACAAGGATGGGGAGCAGGAAGTCTGTACCCTTTCCCGGGGAAAATGGCGGCACACGGAAGCGTGCTAGGCAAACGCTAGGCACGTGCATTTCATTTGATAAATGTTGTCGTTGTCGCCGTCGCCTTTGCCTGATTATGCAGCGCAGCCAGCGAGGTGTGCCCCTGCTCTCCTCTATCCCCTCAAAGGTCCACTGACTTGCTTCCGCCGTAGATGCCAAAAACTTGCCTCGACTTCCGTTATGCCGCCTGGGTATATCTTTTTATTGCACACGCGCGTGAAAATAAACCGCAGAAGGCAGAAGAAGGGAAGTGCGCTCGGGCTTTGTATGCGGCATCAGGTTTTGCCTCTGTGTGTAAAATTTACACTGACATGAGCTAACTAGTCCTGTCTTTATGCCAGTGTGTGTGCGAGTTCCTAGGTGCCTGTGTGCCCGGGTGTATCTGTGTATCTTTGGATGCGGCACGTTGCCGTTGTAACTTGCAACTTAAATGCGCACGTGATGCGCTGCCTGCGTTTGCTTTATTGCGTGAGCAGCTCGAAAATTAACAAAGTTTTTTCCCCCAGTTTCCTTTGCCATCTTTTCTTTCTCACCTGGGGCACTGGAAAAAAAAACTAGGCTGCAAATTGTGTATTCTAAGAAGGAACATAATTTTTTTAAGTAAACTTGACTTGATCAAACCAAAATTTAATTTTTTATTATTTTTATACTCTTTGTTTATTATATTTCAAGTTCTAAATACATTTTAAAATATTATTTAAAGGTTACTTATATTTTTTTCAGCGTAGCAGACAATATGAATGAAGATACCAGCGACACAAGTGCGAATGAGCACGACCTAGCATAATATCACGCATACGACACGTTGTCACTGCGAATTTTTGATAGCTACTGCAATCAGCTAAGTGAACGACGGCAATCAGCCCAACGGCATAACAACAGTGCGGAAAATGATTAAACGGAAGGGAAAGCTGGCACAGGCAGCAGCCACGACTTTTCCAACTTTTTCCAATGGCATTTTTGCTGCTGCACTCGAACGAATTATAATCAGGTTGCTGCCGACGAAAAACTTACGCCCGCGAACAGAAATTGAAAGTCAACACACACACAGAGAGAGAGAGAGAATCCGTGCGAGCGGGTGGATATCGAAATCAAATCACAGCGTCGTCAAATGCATTTAGAGCTATTTGCATTGCTTGGCATTCCTTCTGCTCGCTGATTCCTGCTCCTTGATTCCATCCGATTCACATTCAGATTCAGCGGCAGAACCCTGAATCAGATTCAAATTCAGATGCAAAAGCTGTGCGCGCCTCGGCATGTGTCTCTGGATATTTTCATTTTTTCGCTCTCGGCTTCTTTTCCCGGTGGGCGGCATTGCAAATTGATTTTCATCGTCCTCGGGGGCCATGCGTTTGACTCGTTGACAGATAGTCGGCTTGAAGTTTGTTGGTTTCAACTCGAAAATGTCTAAAAAAAATTAAGGAGGAAAACTTTGTAATTGAAAAACAACTTTTTGACATATTTTCTAATTAGATATCTTCACCTTCAAGTTCTCTCAAGCTCTCAGATATTAAAATACATTTTGCTAGCTGACTTCAAATAATTTTTGAATAATTAAACCTCAACTTACCATAATAAACCTATCACTCTCAGCTTATTTTATAGTTAACAAATTCCTACAGACAATTGAAACTGATTTGTGTACGGATGAGCTCCCTTATGATTACTTTACATTAAGTGCGAATTCATTAGGTTTATGTAATTATTATTTTAATGTATTCATTTCCAATTGTTTATTTTTTTTACTTTAAATAAAATATAATTCACAGATTGAGCTGGCCTTTTGTTAATCAACCAAATGATAGCCATTTTTAAGCTTAACATATTTAATGAATGAGAATAA